ATATATATATATATATAGAGAGAGATATGTATATGTATATATGTATGTATATGTATATATATATATGTATATATATATAGCTGAATTAGGTTTAAATAAGCAGAAATGAGCACAAAAATTAGGAAAATAGCAAAAAAAGCTGAAATTAGCTAGCAACAAAAACAAAAAAAAACTGAAAAGTTTCTGAAAAGGGAGAAAGAAGCTTAAACTACCAAAAGGAAGTGGAAAGGGCTGAAAGGAGCTCAAAAATTTGAAATTAGCTGAAAATGCTAAAATTAGCATAAAAACAGCTGAAAGTACCTGAAAGAGTAGAGAAAGCTGAAACTAGAAGAAAATAAAGCTGAGTCGAATATAAGCTGAAATTAGCATAAAGAACTTTATTAGGCTGAAAGTAGCAGAAATTACCATGAAAAACCGGAATTTATCTGAAAACATCTGAAATTAGCTAAAAAAATACTAAAAAGCAAGCTGAAAAGTTAAAACATGCTGAAATTAGCAGAATAAAGTAAAAAGTACATGTTTGCCCAATTAGGCTGAACGAAGCAGAAATGAGCACAAAAAGGTAGAAATTATCTGAAAAAAGCTGACATTACCCCCCAAAACAAAAACAGCTGAAAAACTAGCTTAAAAGGCAGAAAGAAGCTTACATTACTAGAAGTGGCGAGAGCACACTTTTCCTGAACTGGGCTGAACAAAGTTGAATCGAGTACAAACATGTGGAATTAGCTGAAAAAGCTAAATTTAGCATAAAAACAGCTAAATAGTTGCTGAAATAGCAGAAACGGTTGAAATTTGCAAAAATAAGCTAAAAGGAGCATAAGCTGAAATTAGCATAAACAAGGTAGAAGCACAAAAATGTAGTTACTAGAAAGAACTGGAAAAGAGCACAAAACAGCTGAAAAAAATAGCTGAAATTAGCTGAAACTTGCTGGAAAAAATATTTAAATTTGCAGAAGGAAACTGAAAGAAGCTGAAGCAGAACAAAATGTGAAAGGAGCAGTAAAAGGTTATAAACAGATCTAAAGATTTGAAGGATGTAAAATGAGCTCAACTAATTTTCTATGAGAAAAAAAAAAGGCAGAAAAGGCTAAATATTTCAAAAAGCTAAAGCTGCACCAAAACCAAAAGTCATAGCAGAATTGTCCTGAAAGAGCTGAACATTTTGATTTATGATTTGTTGAAATAGATTGAAAACTGCAGGATGAGAATTGTGCCAAAAAATGTGTGTGTGTGTGTGTGTGTGGGGGGGGGGGGGATGGATCACAATAGTGTGAATGCTTCATAAACATTCACACAATAAACACTGTGGAGGTTTATAGCTGAGGCTGCAGGAGATTGAAGAATTGTGCATGACAAATCTAAAACATTAAAATGTTAGTCTCCAAACCTATAATTTATTTAGGCCTACATCAGTCTTGCACATCAACATAGTGTGCACGTGTTTCATTAAAGCAATCACAATTTCCTTCACTGTTAGCCCAACTCAGGGTGTCGGTGCTAAATAATGCTCAGAAAGGGCATGGATTGAGTGCCACAGTCTGGAGCCACATAAGGGCATAGGGAGGAGGCATACCCCATCACAAGCATATTTTAATGTGCACATGCTGCTCCGCATGCTTGCATCACTTGCTTGAGTCGTCCAGGGAATTTGAGACCAATTATTACAAGATGAATTCCTATTCCTAAAAGCAGACAGTGCACAGAAAACTGCAGCTGTTTTTTTTTTTTTTACCTCTAACCAGAAAAAAGTAACAGTCACAATCAACTTCCTGAACTTTTTATTTTTTTTATCATAACATGACGTTTATATGCACTAATGTAAAAAAATAATTTAGACATAGTAAAAAGCTTCCATACAAGAACAGAAGAATGCTACAGGAGGATAGTAACAGACAGAGGTTTATAATAACGTGTGTGTGTGTGTGTGTGTGCACGTGTGTGTGTGTGTGTGTGTGTGTGTGTGTGCGCGTGCGTTCACCTGGGGGCGGATGACTCTCTCGATGTGCTTCAGGGCCGTGTCAGGGGAGGGTGGAGAGCAGTCTGGTGTGGGGCCTGTTGAGCAGTTGTCATGGTTACCACTCTCCTCCTCGCTCACCGGTACATGGGACAAGTGACCTTGGAACGGAAAAGAAAGTCAGAGGCAGAAAGACGAGACAAAGATTTGTTGTTTTAAGTTTTTGGTTTTTTTACACTGAAAAAATTATTCTGCAGCTCAACTGGAGTTTCAGACATTTGTTTGGACGTGAGGATAAGATTTTAGCTCTCACTCCAGAATATTACTATAAAACAACTATGATGTGCATAAAGAGACAAGCTATTATTTACTGCTTTACACTTACAATAGTTAAAAATCCAATAAATACATTTGTCAAAGCTACAAAAAAATCCAAGAAAAGTATAATTTTAGGTGTTTTACAAAACTTATCTCATAAAACTTTTCATTTCATATGTGGCTTTTAGTTCTTGCAGTAAAGGTGACTTGACTAGAAGATATTTTTTATTACCTTGTAAAGATAGTATCTGATGTAAGGGGTTTTGTTGAAATGAATTTATTTCCCTTCCACAAAGTCAGTTTATTATTATATTATAATTAATTTATTTATAATTAATTTATTTATATTTAATTAATTTATAATATAATTTATTATACATTAAACAAATTAATTAATAAAAGGTTGATAATGATGCAGTCTGTAAGTGCAGATATGGGAAAAGAAGCGCAGGAATAGAAGTGTTTGACGTGTCCTTTGCTTTGTGTCAACCACTTGCTTCAAATCAGTCGCTTTTCAACTGAAGCTGCTTCATCGTTAGAGCTGATTTTATTCATTTCTTGGTAAATTAGGGGGAAAAATCTTCCAGCTTTAAAAACACGTCACCTAAATGTGACATGTTTATGAAGGGTAAAGTGATCCAATGCCGAATTCTTCAACTGCATCAGCATGTTTCTGTAGAAGAATAGAGAAGTGAAAGAGTTCAGCTCAGCGCCTCATGTTGCATATTTCCACCCACCGCTGCACTGGCAACCACAGATGTGTTAGCATACGGCTGCTGTGAAGACGGTGTATGCTGTAATTTGACAAGCCTTAGCAACAACTGCAGCAGGGGAACAGGACTGATGTCCAGTGCGGTATGATGCCTCTCTCACTTGTAGCTCACGCACAGACGGCATGTGCGGCAAACGAGCGTGGAGCTAATTCAACCCGGCCATTTAACAGAGAGGAAAAAGGGTGGAGAGTGCTGAAATAACCTAAATGTAGTTTTTAAAAGGAAGAAACAGACCAATACATGTACGTCAGCATCAGTACTGTTGACACACACACCAGTAGCAGCTTTCTGTCAGCTGCCACCTGCTGTCATGGATGCTATCAGGCACCAGACTATCATCCAATTATGGTGTGAGACCCAGCCATGACTATTAACACGCTGAGTGACATCCCATCACAACTGCAGTGGGAAGGTTTGTTGCTGCACTTCACTGCACATGATCCAGTTAATTGATCCTGTTAAGAAGCAAAGTGGAAGCAGAATGTCCTCGATTCAACTTGGATGATATTGATGGTGAGATTTTTCACAGCTCCCACAAATCTTCGTCTATTCACAGAGAACAAACGCATCTATTTGAGGGATGGGTTGTGATTCAGAATTGTCAAACGCTCATATAATAAGATGGTCACTGTTACACCCAGTAAATACAAAAATAAGAACAACATGTGCAACTTAAAGGGACAAAATATTAAGCGCCTTGCATGTCTCATACATTTGATGAAGTTATACAAGAATTATTGTGAGTACAGTACTACTGCAGATTCACTTGTCCAAGTTATATTTCAGGGTGTATTTGTATAGTGTGAATGTTTACGAAGCAGTCACACTATTGTGATCCATTTTTCTTCCGTAGGTTTTTTGGCATCGCTCTCGTTCCACAACTTCTGTGCCATTTCAACTAATCATACATCAAAAAGTTCAGCTCATTCAGGAGAAGGGTGTTATGACTTTTGGTATTGGTGCAACTTTAGCTTTTTGAAATATTTAGCCTTTTCTGCCATTTTGTTCTCATAGAAAATGAATTGAGCTCATTTTACATGCTTCATATCTTTAGATCTGTTTACAAACGTTTACTGCTCCTTTCACATTTTGTTCTGCTTCAGCTTCTTTCAGCTTACTTGTGCAAATTTAAACTTTTTTCCAGCTAATTTCAGCAGGTTTTTTTCAGCAGTTTTGTGCTCCTTTCAGCTTCTTTCTGCTAACTACAACATTTTTGTGCTCTTTCTAACTTCCTTCTGCTAAAATCAGCTTGTTAGGTTCCTTTCTGCTTATTTTTTTCCTTCAGATTATTTAGCTGTTTTTTTTTTTATCATTCTAGCTTTTTCAGCTTATTCCACATTTTATGCACTCATTTAAACTTTTTTCAGTCCAGTTCAGCAAAAATGTGCTCTCTCCACTCTCTTCAGGTAATTTAAGATTCTTTCAGCTTTTTTTTTTAGCTACTTTTCAGTGGTTTTATTTTATTTTAGCTTTTTTTTTTCAGATGATGTCCACTTTTTGAGCCAATTTCTGCTTCTTTCAGCCTAATTGGGCAAACATTCTTTCAGCTTTCTTCTGCTAATTTAAGCCTGTTCTACCTTTTAGCTACATTTTAGCTAATTTCAGCTGTTTTCAGAAAAATTCAAGTTTTCTTGGTAATTTCTGCTATTTTCAGTCTAATTAACTTATTTATGCTAATTTCATCTTTTGTTTGAATGTTTGAAGTTTTTCTGCTATTTCAGCTGCTATTTCAGCTTCTATTTAGCCGTTTTATGCAAATTTTATCCTTTTCAGCTAAATTCACATTCTTTGAGCTCATTTCAACTCTTTCCACTTCCTTTTGGTAGATTATGCTTCTTTCTATCTTTTCAGCTACTTTTCAGCAGTTTTTTGCTCATTTTAACTTTTTTTTTAGCTTATTTCCTAACTTTGTGCTGATTTTTTCTTATTTAAACCTAATTCCACTAATATTTATTCTGCTAATTTAGGCTTGTTCTTTTATCTCAGCTACATTTCAGCTCGTTTTTAACTAATTTCAGCCGTTTTTCAGCAAGTTCTTCTTCAATAAGTATTCAAACCGCATTTTCACAGGAAATGCAATTTCTCTAGTTATTTAATATGTGGTTCAAATTGGTGCATATAAATTACAAGAATTTTAAGTTTAGATCCTTTTAAGGAAGTTTTTATGTAAGGAAAAATCTACAGTTACTTCTTCAAATGAAGTGAAGAAAATAAAAAAATAAATAAATAAACAAACAAAAGACAATTCGTAATTATAGACCTGGTAAATATGAGACAGTCAGCCAGATCTCTGCAAGATGCCAGATGCTTAAATATGATTTAAACATGATTCCTCATGAAAATAAGTGCAAAATATATCACTAAAATTTGAATAAATCCATTTAGTTTCTACAAAGAGTTCCAATTTTATATCCTTTACACAGGTGTAACAAAGCAGAACATTTTGATCCAGACCATTCTCATTTTATGCGTTGCTGCAGATACACCTCTGTCCTGCCGGGACAGCTTCACACCACGTTCTCACATTATACGTCTTCATTTGCATGCAGTCCTGTTCAAACACAGGCAGTGAATTTACTTCAAGCAGCTGCCTGGAGCTGATTCAGTGTTAAATGTGGGTGTAAACAGATACAATAAAAACTGGAGAAATGTGAGACACACAAAAGGAAGGATGCCACAGAGGAGTAAATATAGAATCTGAAGTTTTGTATCGGTAGAGACATAAACCTGTCAGCACTGAGGCTTTGATGATGGATGTAGGGTGAGCCTGTTCGAGCATCTGCACCACTTTCAGATCTGTCACGGGCTCACTCCTGGGAAATACTTGCAGTCCTCCTCACCAAAGGAAATGTGTGCTTACATATAAACAGGCATAGCTTTACTATTTATGTCCATACATTTATATGTCAGAGTGTAAGAACAAAATAACCAGAGAAAACCTCCATTTCTTTTTTCTGCTAGTTACATAGGGTTGGGTCAAAGGAGAAGACAGAGTCGAAAAGAAAGGCAGAGGTGTTTTTATTACAGCCTTTAGTTTGTCCAAGGTCAACACTGAATCACAATCCAGCCAAAGGACTGCATCCCTTCAGACTGCATTTGATCTTACACTCCTACTGGTGATGTCTACACCTCCTTGGACAACAAGAAAGGCATTCTGACCAGATGTCCACGCTAACACAGTGTTGGTAACTAATCCAAGACTCACGCAATCCCTTAAAGGAGAGTCTAAGATTTGGTTTGTTCATAACCTGACAAAGAGTTTCCTTAAAGACTAAGAGCTTTTCTCTAGAGTTCACAAGTAACAAGCACTTTCTTAAAAAAAAGAAAAAATATACATATATATTTATATATATTAAAATACTGACATAAAATATTTCTCTTTCAAGATTATTTATCATTTTTAGAAAGTAATGACATAAAACAGAGCCGTACTGGTCACATCTCAATAGGCCCAGGTAAAGAAAGATCTACCAGTGCAGGTTTAAAATGTGTTTAGACCAGCTCTAATGTCTCACTGAAGTCAGAAATGTGAGGAGGACGCTCAAAGTTTCTGCTTCTGTCTGCATGGATGAATGTTGGCCTGTTCAACTGGACCACTGATTCAGAGATGCTGCTATGAAGCCAGGAGTCAGGTCAACTTTAAATACAATCAGAAGATCTTTACAGAGGGAGGGCTCATAAGGTAAAAACAATTTGGATAAATAAGTAAAAGTAAGACCATAAGAAAAACTTGAGAAATTTACATTTCCTGTGAAAATGCAGTGTGAATGCTTATTGCAGAAGAACTTGCTGAAAAACAGCTGAAATTAGCTAAAAAAAATAAAATAAAATAAAAAATGTTCTGTGGGAGAAAACCGAATACCTGGAGTAAATCCATGCAGGCACGAGAAGAACATGCAAACTCCACACAGAAAGACCCCAGGTCCAACCGGGAATTGAACCCAGGACCTTCTTGCAACAGTGCTAACCACTGAGCCGTCGTGCTGACAAAATAGCATAAATACTACACATAGTAGCTGAAATAGCAGAAAAAGATGAAACTGGAAAAAAGCTGAATGCAACATAAGCTG